AACTCCCAGAATTCCCATGCTGGCTGGGGAATTCTGGGAGTTGAAGTCCACTCATCTTAAAAGTTGCCAAGGTTGAGAAACACTGATCTAACATATCAATGACAGGAAGCTTTCCAATCCCCCATGGCATCCACAAGGAGAAGGGGTCAAAGAAAGTCAAGATGGCACTGGTAACCATGCAACTGAAGCCATGCCCCTTTTTACATGTGTCATGACCTTCCCCCCTCTGAACACCCCTGGCACAATCTTTGGAGCATCTGAAAATTAATCTAAGAGGTATTACCTGCAACAGCTTGCTTACACACTGTGGGTGGCCATGTTTCGCTGAGAGATGTAATGCCGTGTGGCCTGTGGTGGAGAAGATCAAAAGAAGAAAAGCATGGTGTTACTTGTCGTCAAAGGAGTCTTACTGAGTGTGGAAGGAAGTACAGGCTGACACCAATGAAAGCTTGAACTAGCAGCTCTGAAGTGGGAGGAGAAAACATGGTTTTTGTGAGAGGGAAAAGATGGGTTTAGTATCTCCAAATGTTGTGTGCTACAGCTTCATCGTGGCCAACTGGGTTGGTCTGTGATTTCCACTCAAATCAGGCAACTTGCCTCCTTTGGCATTCAGAAGAATATTCTCTTGGCCCATCACATGCCCAAGGCATGAGCAGGATCAGGCCTTAGCTCCTCCTTATTCAGTTTGCCTTGCTCCGTAAGTCAGCCAATTGGTGGTAGTCTATTTCACATTGCCCTGGACTGGCATGGAAGCAGGAGGACAGGAGCATGTTAGAACTTTTCTAAGGACAGTAGGCTGCTAAGGATATAAGCCACCATTCTGATTTCAACAACAGGAAGGAATTCTCTGGGTCAAAAGTCAACTCCCCCAAAGAGGGCCAAGCTATTTCCAGAAAACCAACAGAGGAATCTTGCTGGGACAGAGAAGGAGAAGATCAAGCCTTGCAGGATCCGCATGACATTACTTTCAGGAACTCACTGCCATGGGATGTGGGAAGGTAGCCAGTTTAGATGGACTTCATGGAGGTTACACACATTCAGGGAGGAAGAGGAGAAATTGATGCAAAGCAACCAACCAGGATAGTTGCATCAGACTCCAGGTTGAGAGGCACCAGGAAGCCATTGTTGAAGAATGGTTGTTTGTGCTAAAAAAACATGCAATAAAGCATCCTCACCTGAACCATCTGTGGTCAGAGCGTCTGCCCCATGGGCCAACATCACCTCCAAGCAGTCCACGTTTCCCTTCGTAGCACACAAATGGAACCTGCAAGAGGAAAATGGGTTCCTGGGGACCGCTGATAGCTGGGGGAACCCATATGTCAAGTGACGTACAGAAGAAAGCAGGCGTGGACAACCTTGGCACCCTAATGCCTGTAGAATCTGGACCTAAATGGGAAAGCCTTTTGGGCAGGGCACAAAAGATAGGAAAACACAGGTGACCAGCAGCTGTCCCTCTCTACCGCCAGGTAAACCCTCCTCTGCTATCCAATGAGAATGAAGCCCTGGAGGCTTAATCTAGGCCAGTGTTGTCCAAACTTGGCCACTTTAAGATGAGTGGACTTCAATTCCCAGAATTCCCCAGCCAGCCATGCTGGGGAACTCATCTTAAAGTGGGCAAGTTTGGACAACACTGATCTAGGCTTAACAGATCTGGGCCTCAACAGACAGCAGGGCTTGGCGGGGAGGGGAGGGGAGGGGAGGGTTGCTTACGCTGATTTCCCCTCCATGTCCAATTTGGTGGGGACCAAGCTCTTCCGGAGCAGGAGCGAGGAGACTCGATCTGCATCATTGAATTCCACCGCCTGCAAGAGCTTCTCATCATTCTTGCTCCAGTCTTGGCTCTGAAAACCAACATTTGGGTTATTTGAGGATATGCATTTAGGGATCTGTTTGTTCCTCTCTAGCCAATGTAGACACTTCTCCCTCCCCTTTCCAGCCCATCCAACTTGGAAGATCTAATGCAGCTTCTCCATCTGACCAAGCATATTGGGTAAGTAGCTCCTAGAAAGGTTTGGATATATTTTACATATATGCTAAGTTACGGGGGAGGGGGCACATCCCTGATCTTCCTGAGAGAACCAAAAACCCATAGCCTGTTCCTCCCCATCCAGATCTCTGGAGCCTCCAGGCACCAGGACACGACCATGATCGCATTGCTTGATCAGCTCGGAGTCAGGACATAGAATTGGGTATCATCGGTGTACTAATGGTATTAGACCCCATGTCAGGGGATGACCTCACCTAGCAGTTTCATGTAGAAACTAAATAGAAAAGGTGAGAGTGTCGATTCCTGAGGCATCCCACTGGTAAAGGGTTGAAGGTTGTTCTTTCCCCTCTATCAACATCAACTGGAACTGGTCTGAGGAGAACAACCATTACCACAACATGCCTCCCACTTGTGATCTCCAGAGCTGGCCCAAAAGGATACTATGATCAGTGGTATCAAAAGCCACTGAGGGATCAAGAAGAGCCAGGATGGTCACACCACCCCCATCCTGGCTTCACCAGAAGTCATCCACACATGCGAGCAATGCTATCTCTCTACTATGTCCCAGCCTGAAACCCAACTGGATAGGATCCAGACAATGTGCTTAATGCAGGTCTCTTTGCAGCTACAACCTGACCACCTTCTCAACAATCTTCTTCAGAAAGGGAAGGTTGGAGACTCGATGAAAGTTGTCCAGAACTGTTGAATCCACTGATGGCTTCTTGAAGAGTGGACGCACAACTGCCTCACTCAAGAAAGCATTCACGACCACACGGACCCAACCACGTGACACCTCCTAACCAGCAGGGGCACAGATCTAATAGACAGGTGGCTGGGTAAACAGTCCCAAGGATCCAGACCACTTCCTCAAGAGTTACAGGGTCAATAACTCCCAGAGAATGGAACCAGGTGAAGCCTCAATCCACTCATTAGGACTTGACCAGTTAGTCTAACCCAGAATAAATCTGAGCAACTTCATCTGCTAGGTGCTTAGAATACTCTTTACAAAGACCCTGGAGATGTTCTTATGGCTCATCCTTACCCCACAGGGAGTGAATCATCTTAAACAGCATGGTTGGACAGCTATCAGGTCTACAAAATGGAGAGGCTTCAAAGGAGCAAGCCAAGCCCTCAGCCTCCCACCCATTCCAGACAGCAATGAAGGCATCAGTTGAACTACCTACCAGATCCTCAGGGAAGAACCCCAGGCTCCCCCTGGAGCCCATTTGAGTCTATTATATGCCTGGGCTGAGCCAATATGGGGGAATAAAATTTGTTCGGCGACCAACTCAGTGTCTTCACCCCCATTTTTGAATGATAATTCCTTCCTAAAAAGAAGGGAAGTTTGGGTGCCAAGAAGACATACTTCATGATAAGTTTGCACAGCCCACTTCAGTAAACCCTAAACCCTGGTTTTGCAAAACCCACAACTGCTATAGACACCCAACATCCTGATCTATAAACCATACTGGGGCTTATCATGATGGTTGACCCTACGTGCTAAGAAAACACCCAACCTATTTCAGCACAATGTGTCCTCTCAAAAGCTAACCAGGGTGGTAACTGGTTAGGAATTGGATGGGGAACCACCAGAAAATCTGAGGGCTACTGACTAAACTGGCCAACTGAAAAAAGAAGACAAGGGCCAGCCATGTCCGTAAAGCTGCCCAAAAGCTGCAGAGGTATGTTCGTGACTTCTAGGAGTCAAGATCAATTTGAAGGAGAATTTGTTTTGCAGACCCAGCCACTGCATGAAGACTAATGGAAAATTCCACCCATCCTGCATTCAACCTTCCAGACCAAGTTGTATGGCTGTTTTAGAATCCTCTTCTGGAAGAACCCAACTTTGCTGCAAAGTCTCCCTTTTCTTAACCCTGACCTACCTTGCAAGGTTGCCAGGATGAACATGCACACACCGAGACACACCCAGCCTCTCACCAAAAGGTTGAAAGACGTTAAAGCATTTTGAACTGCACTGACAAAAGGGAAGGGGGGGACCTTTAACTCCAAGAAATGTAGAGCAAATATTCTTGGAAAGAGGGGACAGGGTACGAATCAGACTGGAGAGGTTAAGAGTACACTGAGAAAACCTAAAATAAAATTAAAGGTATGGGGAGGGTTTCAAACTGGGGTGAAACTACAGAGGATGGATGTCAGCTGTGAAGCTAATGGAGTGACCTTGACATACACATCCTCTCTGAGCCAAACCTACCTCATAGGGTTGTTGTGATGATAACAATGGGGAGGGGAGGAAAGGAACCAGGAAGACAGAGACACATCCTTAACATGGATGTCACCATAAACGAAATAAATAAAAAACATGACAAGAGTCCTGCTGAATCCCTCTCTTTGAGTTTCCTGGAGGAAGGTGAGGCGATATTCTTCATCACCTTCATCATCCCTTGGGAAGGATCCCCCATGCTGGGAGGAATGCAATGGGTGGGAACGGCCTCTACTTTTCGGTTAAAAAATAGCCCTTTGGTACATTTCAGTACATTCTTAGCAGCACAACTATAACCTTCTAGAGTGCAGGGGGGAGGGAGGGGGAGGAGAGGAGGGGAGGGGTATGCACTCGCTTCACTCTGTGCATGTACAGAGTGTAACTCCCCTCCTCTCCTGCTACAGCCCCCCTCCCCAACCTTGGTACCTTGCATTATTAGCATTAAAAAAAAAAAAGAACTAGATCAGTTGCTTGGAAACCAGCCCCCACCTCCTTGAGATGGGGAAGGAGGCTGGTGCCATGGCAGCAGCGATGGGCTTGGGGGGAAGAGGCCGGGAGGAAAAGGAGCCCTGTGGGAGGGAGAGCAGGCTGGGGGGGGGGGGGGAGAACATACCACAAAGGAGGAGGCGGCGCAGAAGCAAATCTGCTTCATCGTTCCCCCTAGGAAGTAGCGGGTAGCCATCCATCCAACCTGTCTGCCCCTGGTCTGGTGAAGAAAGAGGAGGGCCCAAGGAGGACACCCGCCCGGGGCTGCGGGTGGATGGAGGATGGTCCAGGTGGGTCGGCTGCACCGCACAAAGGCCCTGAGGCGCAGCCGGAGGAGGGGACCAGCTCCCTCTAGCGGTGGACAGCGGACCTGGCCGGTGTGCCTTGGTGCGCGCGTGCCAGGCGCGCACAAGCTCCAGCGCTCCTCTTCCGTCCCCAGAAAGATGCTCCCAAGTCAGTCCGCCTCAAGGCTCGATGCCTAAGACCCAGGATAGAGATGCGCCGTGTGAACGTATGGCCAGCCTGAGAAAGCTGCGGCTGTTTAGCAAGATTCGTCATTCTGCGCTAGGGTTTCCCAACCTGGAGAACTTTCAAAGGGGTGGACGTCAGCTCCCAGGATCCTCAGCGGTGGCCACGCTGGCTGGGGAATTCTGGGAGTTGAACTCCAGACATCTGGAAGTACTCTACGAGCAGACGGTGACCACCAACAGCTCTCTGGGGTGGCAAGCAGGGTCTTCCTCCAACTCCAGTTGGAGATACTGCATGTGGGTGTGAAGAGCAGGGATTACACGCAGACATCAATCTTGCAATTCCAAGATTGCACCAGGAGCATCACATTCAACTCTCAGCATTGAGGACAACGTAGCCCCAGCCTGCCTGAGCCAGCAGGATCTCCCATGCATAACTCTGGCCAAGCTAAACCAGAAGCTGCCCAGATCCCCCGCATCCAGATGGAGGTAGTGGTCCCCCACCAGGCTCATCTCAGCCAGCCATGGATTCTGGGAACTGAAATCTAATACCGTTTGGAGGAAGACTGTCATTGTCCCCCCAAAACAGGGGACTTGCCTGCTATAACTCACAGTGATAAAACCTTACTTCCTACCTCTAACATTCCTCTGCAGGCGACAAGCCGGCCAGCTGGTCCTCTAAGATATTCCATTGCACCTCATCATTTCTACCAAACGCTGTGGTTTCATTTCTAACCACGGTTCATATTCCAGATCTCCTGAATGCAATCAGTTCATCATGGATTTTACTCTCTTTTTGGAAGAGTCCTTCTACCACCTCAGGGTTGGTCCCTCACCCCATAGCTACACCTAGAGCGATATCTCCTTTTGGATTCACGGCAGCCTCCTTATTTGCTGGCACTCAGCACCAACTGTCAGTGCTGCTGAGATTAATAGAACTGGTTGGGGAGAATGGGATGTGTAATCCCACACATTGGAGCCACCCAACGGGGAAGTCGGTAGCAATGAAACACATCCATTCTATACACTGAGATCAGATTGGTGAAGTCCAGGGCTGCTGTTTCTGAGCTAAAAAAAATGCACAAGCACTAGATAACAACAAAAACATCTGTGCCCCTTTGGTGCCATCTGGTGGTCTTCTGTATCTTTGCAGCCCATATACGGTTGCATGAAGGCCTTGGAAAAGATATTCAGATGCCATGATGTATCTGTACCTACAAAGATCAGAATCATGCAGGCAACAGTTTTCCCTCTAACACTCTATGGAATCCAGAGTTAGACTCTGAAGAAGCAGGATAGGAAGAACAGAGTAGCTTTTAAACTTCAGTCTTGGAGAAGACCCTGAGAACACCGTGGACAGCCAAGAGAACAAACTGATGGATCATCAAACAGATCAACCCAGAGTTCTCCCTCGAGGCACCAATGACCAGGCTCAAATTATCCTACTTCAGGCACATGATGTGAAGACCCAGTTCTCTGGAGGAGGTGCTGATGCTGGGAAAGGTGGAAGGAAAGAGAAGGACCAGCAGCAGCAAGGGGATGGACTCAGTTCCAGTGGCAACGGGGGCATCCTTGGGAGATCTGAAAGACCAGCGTGGGGACTGATCCTCCTGGAGAAAATCTTTCTCTCTGGCTGTTAAGAGTCAAGAACGACTTGATGGGACATAATTGAATCAATCAACCTTGGCAACTCCAGCTATTTTTAAGGTTAATCCCTAAAAGGCAGGGATTCCCTCTTGGCATTAAAGATCTGCAGGCTGTCCTTGGCCATTGGGAAGAACTGCCCTGCACCCATTTACACCCCATTTTGCAGGGTGGAGTGTCGCAGGAACCAAGGTCCAGGTTTTAATTCTAACCTTAGGAATTTGGCATGGGGCTGAAAATATGGAACAGCCGTGATGGCTTGTACTCACATCACCCTTCTTAAATCTGGCTTTCAGGCTCTTCATGTTGCTCTCTGCAAGAGACAGATCAAGAGGCTGGGAATACTACAGAGTATTTGCAGAAACAGGGCCAAGAAAATAGGCAAAGGCCATTGCAGGATGGCGCCTTGCCCCAAATCAAACCTTGACCCCATAGCTCAGCTTGGTTGGCACGGTTCAGCATCCTCCCCAGTCGGGAGTTTTTCTTTCCCCCTCCCCGCCCCAGAAACGCCAGGTGTGCGAGCAAAGCAGGTCTCTACTGCTTCCCTTAAAAAAATAAAATAAGACACCAGTCCTCATGGCTTTGAGCAATGGGCAGATCTAAAAAGGGACAAAGCAAGATACCTTTTACCAAATTACAAGATTATGACCCCTCATTAACATTATCCGGGGGGGGGGAGAGGGGCTGTGGTCTGGTTGCTGAATCTCTTCGCCAGCGAGCAATGCCCAGCTCTTCCCTTTTCTTTTTGGAGACTCTGAACCTCTTTGTTGCTTAGGAGAATCCTTGGAGCTTCACCTGCCCCATCACCTGGGAGGCGCAACCAGGAAATTGGTCCTCTGCTGTAATCTCAGGGGATCCCCAGCCTCTGCCATCCCCTGCGTGGCTAATTAGGATCCAATTTTCCACCACATCAGGAGGTGGAGACAGTTGCTACCTTCACACGCAGGTAGGCCTGCTACTGAATCTGGTTGTTTATCCAGCAGAACTCTTCCCCATTTCACCCAGTCTATCTCCTTGTTGGTGAAGCCCTGAAAATCTACCCAACCAAGGTTTTTGCTTTAGGGAAGAGATGGCTGTTTTAGAGGGGAGGCATAAAATGGGCACATTATGAAACTTACATGTGGTGGTCTCTGGGGGTTACAAGCCAGGGCTGTCTTTTGGGGCTCGATTCCGCTGTGGTCCCCTGGATGTCCTTGGGCTCATGTTTCGGTGCAGACATGCAAAGACAGAACAATTGGAAAGATATCTTCTTACGAGCACCTGGCTGCAAAGCAACTTCAGAATATTCCTGGCTCCTGTTCAGCGTCAGGTGGGTGGCGGCCCCACCAACTGGAGATGGGTCCAGGGTGGTGGTGGTAGTGGAGCGCTTGAGAATTAATGAACTACCTGTAACAGGTAAACTAACACCTCTCCCAGGTACTCTACTGTAGGTGATATCTTCGCAGCCCTCTTGCTTTTCCATGCAGCTCATAGAAAAACCAAAGATAATACTTGGCTTCGGGCCCCAGTAGGGTTTGAATTGCAGGAGGTGATGCCAAAGGAATATCCTGCAGGGCAATCTCTCTTGATTATTTCTGGGGTTGGCGGATTCTCCAGTTTCCAAAGGGGAAAACTGGAAAGAGATGTTTCCTAGCTGGACAGAGCAGCTGATTTTAATTTGATTATTGCTATGGTGACTGCAAAACGAGGGGAAAAGATCTTCTGGATTGTATCAATAGCCCAGCAGGGTACTGGAAGGGGGTCAGCAAGAAAATTGCCAACGGCAGGAGTGGTCAGCCCTGTGAAATGGCGAGTTCTCCTTCGTTAGAGGTCTTTAAACAGAGGCTGCTGGATGGTCATCTGTGAGAGATAATCTACCAGACCCTGCACGGAGCAAGGGGTCGGGCTAGGTGACCTCCCAGGTATCTTCTAACTCTGTGATTCCCTGAGACTGAAGATACAAACGCTGAACAGCAGAAGCACTGGTGTCAGGCTGGGCTGATTCGGTCCTATATTCTGTTCCGAGAGCAACCAGCCGTAAACCCATCTCAGATCTTGGTCCTTGGTGTCAGGTACTCAAAGTGTCTGGATTTCATTGCTGTGCTGATGGGACCCTGGAGGCCATGTAGTCCAGCCTGCTTTTCAGGGCAGGAGCTCAATTTAAAGCACCCCTGTCAGATGCCTGTCCACAAACCAGCAAAGGAGAGACCCCCCCCCCCAACTCTCTGGGTCATTGCTTTCCCCGTCTACCTTGGCTTACTGCTGAAAGCTTTTTTTCTAACCTTTAGTCAGGATCTGCTTCTCTGTAACTTAAGTCCATCCTTCAGCGTTCTGTCGCCCACAAGGAGAGGGAGAACAGGACACGATTGTCTTCGTGGCGCCATTCTTTCGGCTTTCCTCTCCTTCCCCGTCTTCTCTTCCCCGGATGGAAGCTTCCGGTCCCTCCAGCTGCTCTTCAGAGGGCTGAGTCCACAATCCTCCTTGTTGCTCTTTGTCTGAACTGGCTCCAGTTTTTCGGAATAATCCTTCAACTGTGGGGTCCACAAGTGGACACAGGACTGGAGGTGACCTCCAGGTCGGCACTGCCGAAAAGCTCACCCAGCAGGCTTGAAAACCATCACGGCTCTGTGCCCCGTTCCCAGCTCCTGCTGTTCAGATAACATGCTCTTGGCGGGGAGGTTCTCTTTTAATTCTCACGCTCAGTACGCTTCCATCGGCTTCTCCTTCCTGAGTACCACAAGGATATTCTGTGCAATGGCTGCAGTGGCTTCCAAAGTGCCCAGGGCCTGTTCTGGAGAGGTAGACTGCTTCTGAATATGGAGGTTTGGGCTCGCCTCTCAAGTATTCCAACTCAGTTGGGCTTACTTTTGCAGAATCAGCTGAGCAGAACTGGCCAGGAAAATGCAGCTGACTGAAAGTAGGTAAGCTGAAGAGAGGAAGAAAAATACTATGAAAATACTTTACCTCCAAAGAGTTATGTTTGTGCAACTATTGTCTGTAAACTGGCATTTAAACTGACCAGGTTCACACAGCAGACTTAGCTGATTTCCTGAACTAACCCATTTTTCTGGGCTCCCGCAATATATTGACCCATAAACTGGGATTCACACGACATCCTAAAGCACCAAAGAAAACTTAACTAGGATAAGAAAGATTAGCCTGTTGTGTGAATGCATCGGTTACAGTTTTTTTTTTCCTAAACTGTTGACGGCTCAACATGCTTTTAAACTGCTATTTTTATGAATACGGTCGCTTGAATTCTCTACAAAGAAAACAGACCCGCCACAAGCCACGGGGCGCCAACCGCGGCCTC